GGAAACAATAATGTAAGTAGAATCAGAATAATTTTGTGTGGGACAGAAGTAAGTTAGGTCTGAAACTAAGGATGGTCTTGAGCAGTAATGATGCCTTTTTGATGTATCCAGAATGCCTGTTGGTTGTCCATAAAACAAAGCAACTTTAATGGCCAGTTTTACCACCAAAATGCTAAAACCAGAGCAAACTTACAGTACAGAACAGTGGTTATAAAGAGACTATCAAATTTGAAACTATGTTGCTGGTCTGCACCTTTATTACATCCAGTTTGCAAGCAATGGCATGCCCATTTTCGTTTACACAAAGGTCTGCAAAAACAAATCAAACCAGTGCAGAGCAATCACTGTTTCATGACAAAACAAAGTGCCTTTAGGCCTGAACACACAAAGTAACTTGTATAGGGTTCAGATACTCTGAAAAGAAGCAAAAAGAGAAATCTATGTCTCAGAAGATTCAGTAAGATTCAACAAAGACTCAGTAATCAGTTCCAAAAAAGACTATCTACTGAGCAGCTAAAAACAGACTGCTAGCTATCTACAGGTGCAAATATTTTAATAAATATTAGTCACTGAATGATTTCAAATAAGCAAGTTAATAAAAACAGGAACCTGTTCAAAGGCAACTCTTGGACAGAAAAATGGATGAACATCATCCCCTAAAATTTTCACAATATAACATTTAATCTGTTCAAAATATAAGAAACCTTTGGCTACAAGCAAATTCACAGCTGTCACTATGGGTTGTTAGAAACTTCTAACAATGGAGTAGAGTGAGCGTGACAAATGCACGGGTCTGTACCTCCCTGACCAATGGGATATTCCTAGTCACTGGTAGGTCTACAGGGCTTGTAACATATACTAGACAAGGGGCGGGCAATTATTTCAGATGCAGCCCATGGGCCGTATGCAGCCCATGGGCCGTATTTTGCCCACCCCTGTACCAGACCATGGGTTTTTCCTTTTTTAGATTCAAGGGGCATTTGTACACATGCTCTAGGAGAGGGGTGGAGCACTTTAAAGTGCCCAGAGCATCTCATGTATCAGTGTCCCCTCACTTAAAAATGGCAGTGGGGGCAATTTATCTAAAGCTTGTTGAACAAGCTTTAGATAAAGCTCGCCCACTGCCATTTTTAAATGTGGGGATGCTGATACACAAGACATTGGAGTCTCCTGGAGCACACTAATTACCATACTCCAACAGACTTGGTTAATAAAGTCTGCTCTGTCATGCTGTAATGCAGCCTCATGGCTTGTGTATAGATGCTCAAGAGCCCTCCTCAGAAAGCACCAGCTCTTAGTTTATAC